ACGATTTTGGATCCTTCATTAGGAATAATTAGTTCACTTGTTGACAGTATCAAAAGAAAAGCCAAGGGAGAGATATTTTTCTGTTCCTGCAGGAGCCTGCACGCTGTCCAGGGAAAGTTTGGGCTGTCCCTGTCTGTGTAACTCTCCCCTGTTCTCTGATCTGAGGACAGACTTCAACATCAATCTTACTCCTTTCAGTGCCACTAACATCCACTGTTATTAAAAATCAGAAATGTTATTTTCCCCCCTCTTTGATCACATTCAAACCATGAAAACAACAACCTAAGCATTTTGCCCTGTTGTATCTCGGGGAGCTGGAAACCTTCTACCCGCAAGAAACTCTTCCAGCAGTTACCATGGTGACACTGGTAATAGATATTTAAAGGCAGCTCACTCATAATCACATCTATTAGATACCAGGAGGCTTTAGTAAGAGAGGCACAAAAAAAGCTTGAAACCAGGGAACCAAAGAGGCTTGGTGATGGTATAAGTGGACAAGAAATTCATGGAGAGGGATCTGCTTATACCATCATTTAGCTGAACACAAAGGGCTCCTGTTCAAAGCTGAAATGGCACTGAAGCCTGCAGAACAAACTATTTTTAGTCAATCTTTTAAAAATTGGTTCTGAAAGCCTCATTTCAATAGTGGCAGCTCTATAAATCCTTTCAGAGTGGTCACTGCCAGAAATACAATAAAAAGCTTTGCTACAGCTCGTCCCCCATTAGAACCAGGCTGCTGGAAATCCCCTGGCCTGCCAAAGTCACCTGAAGGGGTTTCCTCCAGCAGAGAAACCAGGCTGGCTGCAGAGAATGCTGCTCTCTGTGCCCACCCCAGTGTCCTGACACCACGAGCCCCAAAACAAAGCCCCAAAGTCAGCTCCAAAGGGACCCTGCCTTCCACCTGGAGGGTTAAGTAGCCCAAGGATTAGTGCCACACTCCTTTTTAGACATTATTATGCAGTGAGGAAACCTGAATCTGGACAAAGCTGACCAAGTTGAAGAGGTGTGTTTGGTTATACAAGTGTTAAATCATTTATTTCTGTCAGTTCTAGTTCTGTAGTTCCAGCCCACTGGAATGCAACGAAGGGAATCTGCAGATTCAGATCTCCAGATATGAAGCCACCTCAACTTGGCTGAGCCTGTGTAACAGTCATCAAATTGAGATTTCCTTTCTCTTTTTGCTGCATATTTCCATGACAACTTTCCTGCAGTATCAACTTCTTTATAATGGAAAGGTCTCTCAAAGAGAATTTAGGCTTCTATAGCAACAGCTTAAATCCCTGGGAGATGATGATGCCCGAAACTTTACACAGAGCTTTTTTTAGACCACACAAGTGCATTTCAAATTTCTTAGGTGAAAACAAAAGTCATGTGTAATATTAGGGAAACTGTGAAGAGGAGAAGGAGTAACTTGCTGAAGTGGAACAAACACAAAGAAACCACCTCACTTTCAAAAGGGACGAACACTTTGAGATCTCAAACGTTAAAAGAGAGCAGACAGGATCAAACACTCATCTCAAAAAGCCACATCCTGTTCCTCCTCTCTGAGCTACAGAACACAGTCACAAGGAACAAGTCTGCTGATCCTAAAAGGACATTTTATTGAAAGACCTCTCTCTGCAGTCTATTTTATATTGACCTAAAGAAAAAAAAAATAAATAAATAAAATCTGTGACTCAGAATGCCTTTTAACTCCCATATACCTGCCATTTAGCTGCAATCTAACCTTTTTTTTCAGTACTTTAGCTGTTTGCCATGGTAGTGACAGTATCCTCCAACACTGAAAGCCTTGCTGCCTCAGAAGAAAAAAATAATTGTACTCTCAAACAAATAAACTGGTTAAACTCAAAAGCAAAAGGAAGTACAGAAGCTAAACCAGCTTTCTTTCACTGAATTTAATATATTTCACAAAACACTTCTCCAATGTGTTTTAAAATCTAAAATCTCTTAAAGAAAAAAGATAAAATACTACATTCACAACCTGGATGAGAAGCAGGAAAGGATCATGTTTAATGTTTAGGATGGAAATGAAGCCCAGCAGGACCCAGCACCCTTCCTTTTGTAGCCACTGGAAACGTCTTTGCTACACATGAAGTGAGGTTGGCAGTGGGATCACCTGAAAAACAGCCACACTTTCTTCTGCTTGTGGCGATTGAAAACTTTTCCTTTTTTTCCCCTCAAAATATCCATTAATTTGCCCCCTTTTCCTCTCATTCCCCTACATCATCACAGTCCTGGTAAGGGGAAAAAAGGTGCCCAGAGGTAGGAAGGAATGAAAGAGGCTGATCTGATCTAATTCTTGTGGACTTCCACCTTCATCCACTTGCTGCCCACTTCAGAAGAGGCTCTGGAACTGGCAGTTTGACAAAATAACGTTGAGTGCTGGGAAAACTTACTTTAATTTTTTTAATAGCAATGCCAAAAATGACAGCTAGAGCCTGTTCAAAGCCTGGGAACTCTGCAGCTAAGACAAATGCAAACCCAGGATTTCAGACAAACCCCGCATTATTTCCAAGGGTTATCCTGTCTGGAAGAATACTGAAGTGTGGGAGAAAGACTGAGTCACTGTAAAGGTCAAGTGAAACGCAATTATTCGGTGTCTCCATGTGCTGCCCTCTGCTGAAACAGACGCCGAGCTCGTTGGAGCAGCACAAAAACTCGGGATCGTCCGCGCCCACTGCTGCCATGGCACAGGGAAGGGACACGCTCGCCCGAAATGAAAACGTTCCATTTCATGGCACCAGGAAAGGATAAAAATAACTTAAGCTCTTGTGCTGGACTCAGCAGGTTTAAAGAGTGGCTTCAGGGACAGCAGTCCTGGAGAGGGAAGAGCACTGGATGCATCACGACTGCAGTGATGAAGGTTTCACAGGCTTATAAAAAAGAAACAGCTGAAAGTTTCATTTGAACAACTTATTAATCAAAGATGTGTTGAACTCTCATATTCCCTCTCAAATCCTTAATCCTCCATCTGATTTCACCCACGCAAAAAAATCTGTTCAGGCAGATGAGATTATTGAAATACTCAAGCACAAGTACTTGTTTGTAAGTAGAACATGGAGCAGCATAAATGGGAAAAGGAGAAAACTATTAAATATCTAAGGGTGGAAATATAACACATAAATATAAGAGTATTTATAAATATATTTTATATTATCTTGTTTACAAAAATATTATACTTAAAAACAAAATCCAGGAACTGAGAAAAGCAAGTCAAAGCAATATTCCAACCATACCTATAGACTTGCAGTGCTGAAAATTCAAGTCCAACATATCCTGTTTTCCCTTCATGCCTTTGGAAATTAGACTTTGCTGTGTGACTCCGAGATCAGCCCAGCAAGGTTATTTTGGATCAAGGAGAAGATTGAAATCTGAAGTTGAGGGCTCCTTAGGGAGATCATCCTGCCTGCAACCTCCTCTACCTTGTAAAGATCCCGCTGTAGTAGATTTTAACAGCGTGCTTCTCCGGGGTTTCTGACCTTAAAAAAGAGCTTAAAACCCGCCCCAAACCTCAATAAACAAGCAAAAAAAGATTAAAAAAGAGTGAGAGGGAAGAGCAGCGGGCAGGTGGCCCCCCTGGTGCAGCCAGTAGAGGGCAGTGGAATTTAGAGGAAAGTTGTTGAACTTCGTGTAATTAAACATCTGAAGTGATAAAACCACCAGTTTACATCGTTATTTGAACCTACCTATTCTGGCCTAAACTAAGACATAAGCAGGACAGAGAGCAAAGGGTAATAGAAAAGAAAGAAAATGTATTACTTTGGGCCCTTTAAAGAGTTGCACTTCGGGCTATGATGAAGATTTCAGGCTTAAAGCATCATTTAAAAGTAATTATTTAATCTTTTAAATAACTTCCAATTATTGCAATACACTAATTCAACGCATCCTATTGAAACCAACACAGCTGTTTCTCATGGGTTTAAAAACCACAGGTAACTTAAAATAGGAAAAATATCAATTAAGAAGAAAGGTGTTTGCAAGACAGTCCCATCACCACTTGTGAAGATGAAAACTGGTTCTAGTCCACAAGAACGAGAAAGTAAAACAGGTTAAGCAAAACGCAACACAAGAAGATTTTTAATGCTCACAGCACCTTGTTTAGGAAGGGGAAAAGCAACATTTCTCACCTCATCACCAAACAGAACAAGCACCCCAGAGCCAAGGCTCCCGCACGATTTGACACGAGCCCAGTTTGCATTTTGTGATGGACAGACAGATTTTGGTTACTGTCTGAGCCCTTTTGAGATAACACGGGTTCTGAAGTAACAGCGCTGCTCCACACCGGGGGAGACCAAGGTTTGCCCGAAAGGCTGCCGGGGGACATCGCGGTGCCCCGGCGTGTTCGCCCCCCCCCGCGGGGACACGGACAGGGAGCAGCTCAGGTGCCTCGGGCTCAGGTGACGCTGCGGGGCCGAACCGCCCGCGGAGGGTCCGGGCTCGGCACCGGCACCGTCCGCCCGCCCGTGCGGGACCTGTTGCCCTCACACACCGGACCAGCCGCGCGGGAGGACGCGGCGGCCACACCGCGACACCTCCGCGCCTCCCGAGCCCTCCCCGCACCTCAGCCCGGGCACGGGGACTCGGTCCCGCACTGCGGCACCTCAGCCCTCCCTCAGCCCGGCGGTGCTCCGGGGGACCTTGCCGGTCCCTCGCCAGCCCTGCCGGTCCTCTGCAGCCCGAGCGGAGCCCTCAGCTCCCGTTACCCCCCCGCGCTCACCTGCCGCCGCTCCCCGGGATGCTCCCGCAGCCGGAGCCGGAGCGCAGCCCTCACTCGCCTGCAGCGGCCGCACCGACCGCCAGGGGGCCTCCGCGCGGCGCGCCGGGTAATGTAGTCCCCGCGCTACCCGGCACATCCAATCACGCTCCGCGCCGCGGAGCATGCCGGGAGTTGTAGTACCTCTCCCGCCATGCACGCTGGGAGGTGTAGTCGAGCGCGGCGCCGCCGCGGCGGCGCTTCCCGACAGCGGAACTACAACTCCCGCGAGACAACGCGCGCGGCGCCGGCGCGGCGCCGAACCCCGGCGGGTGTCCCAGGGCCGTCATGGCGGCCCCACCGCCGTCAGTGCCGGGCGAGCCTTCGCCGCCCTCGCCGCCGCTGCAGTACAGCGTCCTGCTGGAGCACCTGGTGGGCGACAAGCGGCGGCCCCGCGCGTGGGATCCCGCCGTCTTCGGCGGCATCCCGTGCCCGCCCAAGAGCGAGGAGCAGAAGATGGTGGAGCGGGTCATGGAGAGCTGCCCCTTCAAGGCGGCGCTGGCCTGTGTGGGAGGTGCGGCGGCTGAAGGGGCCGGGGGCTTCTGGAGGGACGGGACAGCCGCTGTGGGGCGGTTCGGGAGTGGAGTGCCCCTGTGGAATCGGGAAAGGCTGATGGAGAAGAGGCTGCAGCCCCTGCCTTTGGTTTTCCACCTTTTAAGCCTCCGCCGGTGCCTGTCAGAGGTCCCGGGAAGGGATCGCTGCCTGTCTGCCTTCCTTGGAGAGGCGGAAAGCACAGCACAGGCTGTCAGCGGGTGTCCGCGGTACCCACAGACCGGCCACTCGTGCTCCCGCACTGCCCCCGTGGCGCTCCAGGGCTGCTCTGGAGCCCGCAGGGAATGTGCCGCTCCAGGGAATGTGCCGCTCCAGGGAATGTGCCGCTCCAATCCCTGCTCACGTTGCACTGTTTGCCTTTGACAGGGTTTGTCCTGGGAGGTGCCTTCGGGATCTTCACGGCTGGGATTGACACCAACGTGGGGTTTGATCCCAAGGATCCCTATCGCACGCCCACGGCCAAGGAGGTGCTCAAGGACATGGGGCAGAGGGGCATCTCCTACGCCAAGAACTTTGCCATCGTGGGTGCCATGTTCTCCTGCACGGAGTGCGTGGTGGAATCTGTGAGTAATAACCTCTTCAACACTGAGAAATGTTTTATTGTATACTTACTTGGTAATCTTGTACTAGATGCACATAAGTATGTATATCCCCTTTGAAAAGTCCTTTTCAGTTTAAGTCCTGAATGTATTGGCAAGTGTAGGCGTTTCTTTTTTAAACCCTGGCTACAAGTAGTTTTTACTTTAAAACTCAAATGGTGAGTTGCAGCATGGTAATTTGAGTGCCTAAAAATTCCATATGTAGAATGGGATCCTTTGATTAGAGTTCTTAAGTAACAGTTAGCCTGTTTTCATCTGACCCCTACAGCAAAAAATGAACTTGTGCAGCTCAGCAATAATCCAGTTTCTTAAATAGGAAAATTACCCTGTTATGAATTTGAGTCCTGCCTTTTAATTGAAAGACACAACTATTTCTTAACTCATCTAAAGAAAAGTGTATCTGCTTGCACAATGGAGCAGAACAAATTGGTCTCTGCACTGATGAAAATCCAGCGTGTCCTGGCTATGGAAATAGTGCATCTTTGTCAGCAGGTGCTGCGGCTCTCACCTGTGCCAAGAACCAGCTGCTTGGCTGGGCTCAGGGCTGCACTCAGGTAGTCACAGCACTTTTAAACCCTCTAAGCAAGTGTTCATGTTCAGTGCTATGTTCTGGGGATGTAGCAGCTCACCTGAGGATCCTTCTTGTAGCACTGCATTGCACCATATGGATTTATTTGTCTTACCTCTCCCAGCGACCTGTTCCTTCCTCCTCTCCTGGCCCTGCAAGTTTGGGAGTGCAGGGCCATCTGCTGAGAACAGATGGAAAAACATCCTCAGCTGAGAAGGGGCTGGAAGGTCATTTAATCTTCCTTGCTGTCAGCGCAGATACTGACTGTTTATTCCGTATTTACTTGTTGACTCTGATTTTTAATTCCACAGTATCGTGGGAAATCAGACTGGAAGAACAGTGTTATCAGTGGCTGCATCACGGGAGGAGCCATCGGCTTCAGAGGTTGGTGGTGCCTGCTGGGAACTGTTCCTGTAATAAGACTCGAATTTGGTTATAGAGCACACAGTGTTCTGTGTGGAACACACACTGCAGACCTCTTTGCATGGGGACTGTAGTGAAGCCCAAATGAGGATGTGCTCCGTTCTGACAGGGCTGCGCCCTCATCTTCCTGTCAGCTCCAAGGATAAGTGTGGGTAGGGAAAGCTTGGTCATACAGGCAGTGAGGTTGGTGGAAAATCAACAAAATTCACAAGAAGAAGAATGAGGAGATGCTGTTGGCTACCTAACATTCTTCTGTGGTGTAGTGAGGAGGAAGCCAAAAATATACAACTCCGAAGCTACAGCTCTTGTATGAACAGAGCTTTATTTATATCTGCTGTTTCACTGGCAGTAACACTTAATTTGCTTTCCTCCTTTCTTACGTATCAAACATATCTGTGGAGTAGGAGCACTGAGGTTTTAGTCCGGCAGCACTAGTGGGGACTTTGGGAAGCCCTGAGTGGTAATAACATCTGGGAAAAAACCCAAGTAGGAAGAGACCTGGTCTGCTCATCAGAAATATCAAACTTCTCACACCTCTCCTAAAGTAAAAAGCCTGTCCATAGAGCATAAAAGAGAAGAAAGCTCTCTTGAAAGTGCTTCTAATTGAGCTTGTTAAGTTGTGTCTGTCCTCGATCTAATCCTCTTAGAGCTTTCAGAGCCGTAACTGCTCTTTCTGTCCCTCCCTAGTCCCACAAGGCCACTTGCAGTGCTCAGATCAGAGCACACCAAAATCAGTAGTGGCCAGTGGCGTGTTCTCTTCTGTCCCTTTGTGGAGACTGAGCGACACAGGACCCAGCCAGGGTGTCCTGCTGGTCCCACTGCGGGGGTTGTACATCAGGCTCCCCCTCACCTTGGGCAGTGGCAGTGCCGGTGTTCCCTGGAGCTGCACTGCCAGGTTCCTGCAGGTGTGACCCCTTTGAGCCAGCACAGCATAAGCAAGTTACTGGGAAGAGAAGTATTTTTCTTATTTTGCCTCATTTCCCCCCCCTCCTTGCCTTGCAGCCGGGTTGAAGGCCGGGGTGATCGGCTGCGGGGGATTCGCCGCTTTCTCCGCTGCGGTCGATTACTACCTGCGGTAACAGCGGGATCCCTCGGGAGCAGCCTTCCCTTTAGCTCCAGTGCTGCTGCTGAGAGCCTGCACCGCAGCACAACCACCAGGCTTACCTTTCCACTGCCTCTGGAGTCCTGATGAGCGCGAGCGGGACGGCGTTGGCCGCTTTTCTGAATGACTAACAACGCTCTGGCTCCCAGCCCGGGCGAGCTGCTCCGGGCAGACTTGCGGGAGTACACGAGGATGGAGCCAGGGACAGAGCAGCATCTCCAGGATGGATCAGCTGACTGTCAGTTTCCAGGAAACACGCCTGGACTCTGAGCTTTTTCAATCTGATTTTGATTAAGTCTGTTGCTGGCATCAAAAGAGGCAGGAGGACAATCTCCGAACAGAAATGCTCCGATTTAGGTTACCGCGTGTTTGAACGTGCTGCAAGCGTTTAACAGTTACCAGTTTGCAGCTTGCTACTCTGTTGGGGAGAGGTAAGATCCTGTGGAGAAATAAGTTTGTTTCAGGCTTTTCTTAAAATACCATTTGAAGACAAACCACCATCTGTACAACTTGTCTTATTTCATAAGTACAGAGATGAGCGCCAGATTTCTTTACCATGTCTTAAAGGGAAAAGCAGAAAGGAATCCTTAGCCTTAGAGCCATGTGGTTACTGGCAGATGAACAGAACAGTTTAAGGGGAAAGAAAAGAGGTTACTGCTGAAGTATAATTCTCTGTAGCCACTTGGCTAGCCTGATTTAACCTCGCTGTGGGAGTACAAAGAATTTTGCTACTGCTTTAACTGCCCCAGGCTCGCCCCATTAGTTCCAGCAGTTTGATAGTGAGACTAGAAAGCAGAGCTGTGAGACTAAACCACTGTTTGACAGATAACTGGGCATTCACTCAGCACACAGTCTGCTTCCTGTCACACCATCCTTTTGAGGCGGTGGGACTTCAGATGCAGTGCACACACCTAATAGGGGTTCTCCCACCCACTTCCCCTCCTTTGCAACCACAGTTTGACATCCCAGAACAGTGACAGCATGTGCTTACCTGGAGGAGCAATCCTAGCAGGGTGGTTTGGCTGATGCAGTGGTCAGTTTGGAGGCACACTGTCTCCCATTCCCACAGAGAAGTGGGGAGACAGCACCATGTGATCTATCAGATGAGGTTTCCAGATCTCCTGATGTCCCTTGCTGTGCCTGTTCAGTATCCTCAGGCCAGAAGCTGTGCAAGTCAGCTGAATTTTAAGCTTGAGTAATTCTAGGCTGATTAAACAGGCTGGCTCCAGACAGCCCAGGTTGTTTTCCTCCAAAATGCAAGGATGTAGCCCAAACCATAGGAAATCTCTTCAAATATTGCCTGGCACACTGCCTGTGCTTATACCACTGGCTTGAAGTGCAACTAGCAAGAATTCCATGACAGAAAGAGTAGAAGCTGTGATGCCAAGGTGATCAGTTAGTGCAAACAGCAACACCACAGGGCTTCTTTTGTGCAAATATCGGGGCTTTGCATTTTTATTAACATTTTTTCTCCTCACATGGTTTTACAGCCATTTAAAGTTTATAATCTACAGAAATTGAAACAGAACACAAACAAAAATATATCCTTAACAACTTTTGAAAGTCAAATATTAATTAACAGTTCTATTCTACCTGTAGCTGCAAGAGTCCACCCCCCCCTTTCTCCTTCCTGTAGGAACAAGCAAAAGCCAGTCATGGGGACCAGGCCTCCAGCCACTGTCGCACGGGGGGAGATTTGGCTGTACAGAGTCTCCATCTGGAATGACGGTGTCGTGGACAGAGACTTGGACACATGTAACAAATCAGACACACTTAGGGGTCCGTTGTGCAGTCAGATCTAAAGCTCGGCCTCCTTGCTGGGTCCAGGGCCAAGACAGACGCCTGGTTATTTTCTGCAATGCTGTTTCCCTTCTGTTTAGCTGGTAGTCAAGAGGAGCAGGGTCTGGAGTGTGAGCCCTTTGGAGGGGGACTGAGAGACCTCCCCTCCTTAGTTGCTTTGCTGGTGCAGGGCTGGCAGGTGCTGCCTTCCCCAGGGAGGTGGGCTGAGGACATACCTGGTGCATTGGGGGCAGGGGGCCGGGCTCTACCTGGAACAGTCCGTTAGTGGGGAGGGGAAAGGCAACGCCGCTGTCGGGGATACGCTTGGTCACTTCTCATCCATCTCCATTTGGCACAGGAGAGCACAGGGCCAACGCAGTTGGGCAGGTGGGGGGGGCTTTTCCCACAAGAACACGGACTCAGCTCACAGAGCGAAAGGTTTCGTGTCCCATCAGGTACCAACACCTACCTGGGAGGGTGGGAGGGTTGGGGACATCTCAGGAGCCAGGCACTGGGCGGCCGGAGCACAGCCTGGCAGCGAGTGCAGGCACGTGGCCGTCCTGCCTTGGGACATGGCCTGACAACTCCAGTCATCAGCCTGGGAGGGGACAAGAACTGGAGCCACTGAGACAGACCTGAGCTGGCCAGGCACAGCTAATCCAGCGGCAGAGGAAGCACTTCTGCCTTTGGATGGGAAGGCCATGAAGGCTTTCCTCCTCCTGTCCCTCTGTGCTGCTTTCCAGGCTGGGTGGCCATCCAGTTGCTCCAGAGCACTTGCCTCTGGCAGCCTGGCTGCTTCCAAGGCAGGGCCATGTGCTGCCATGTACCCAGTGCAGTGGAGAAGGCCAAGGAGGGAAACAAAAACCTCCTCATTCCTGTGGCCACAGCAGGAATGCTGCTGCCCTGGCAGGCTCTGCCACAGGGTGCATTCAATGCTCATGGCAGTGCTGGGCTGGCAGGGGCACGAGTGCCTCACAGGTGTACAGCGGGGACCCTGTGCCCTGCCAAATTTCCACATTGGGGAAATTTGGGATCCACGTGCCCTGATGGGACACCATCGATGCCAGAGCACAGACATGGGGTCAGCCCGTGGCACAGGAAGCAGACCTGCCTGGCCGGCCATCCCTCCAGCCTGCCATGGGTCGAGACCAGCACAGCACCTCTCGCTCCAGCCTTGTGTGAGGGGTTATCCCAAAATGAGGCGAGATCCAGCGAGGGAAGTAACCGCCATGCTACACACACACAGGCAAAGCACGGGATTAGGGCTGTAGAGGGGACTGGCCTGAAAACACCCAGAAGAGCCGAGGCGAGGAGGAAGCAGCACCTGCCCCTCTGCTCTCGTGGTCGCAGGTTTGCTCGGGCCAGAGCGGGATCCAGGCACGGGGTCCAACGATTGCGCAGGCAGCAAGTCAAAGCAGAGCTGGTCGTCACCATCACTGGGGAGGGAGGCCTGTGAGCTCCCAGGCCCTGGGCGAGCCAGTGCTGCACATGCAGGCGTGGGGCAAAGGGAGCTGGGCGGCAAAACAGGCACTCGTGGGGCACTGCAGGCGTCAGGGGTGCCTGGTAGGAGTGAGCGGGCGGAAAGGAGTCCAGGAGAAAACTAGCCAAGGGGGAAGCCTGTGTCCACAGCCCTTGTCAGTCACTACCTCTTCCGTTGAGCAAATATACATAAAAACAATTCTTGAACACAAGGAGGGACATAAGACACGACTACTTTACAGAGAGGCACGGCGGGACCGGGCCCCTGGAACGCGATTCTACAGGAGCTGCAGGAGGCACCGTCCTGGGTCCGGGCTGGGCTCCCTGGGGGCTGCGATCCAGTCCGTGTCCCCCAGCAGGGAGCTGGGAGTGTTTGCAGCTGGTGCCTTGTCCCTGCAGGCTACACGTCCGTGGAGAAGTAAAGTGTGTTGCGCTTCAGCTCAGTGAAGGAGATGGGAGGATGCTGCAGGTAGTAGAGAAGGACCTGGACCTGCAGAAGGCAAATGGGGGGTGTTACTCCAGAAAAGGGAAGAGCTGCCACCTCTCAGCTTGTCCCTGTGCAGTAAAGAGTGACAAATCTACCCAGACAGGCAGGTGAACCCCTCCATTCCCCACCCAGCACTGCCAGCACTGCTCTTACCTGGGCCATCACATCGTGGGACCAGATGTCGGAGGCCAAGGTGAGGTGTGCCTTGCTCTCCCCCTCTGAGGGTCTCAGCAGTGTCGGCCCAAAGACCGTGGCCAGATTGTGGAGAGACATTTTGTTGATAGGCTCCTTTTCAGCCACCCTGTGGGGTACGGGGAGAGAGGGAGTGTCAGCTCCTAACACTGCTCTGGAGCAGGACAGCCATGGGGTGATGTGGGGGGCGAGGGCTGCTCTCCCTTCTCCCAGCCCCAGGGAGGCATCTGTAGCTTGCCACTGCACTTTAAAGCCCTCAGAAAACCCAGGTGCAGGGCAGGGAGCTCTGCCCCCTTCATGGCCTCCTCTGGAGCCGCCGGGCCTGGCCGGGAGCCCTGGGTGTGATGTGGCAGCAACTGAGCCCTCGCTGCTGTGCTGCGGGGCCTCCACCCTCCCCATCCCGGCAGGGTACAGGAGCTCCTCACCAGCCTGTGCCCCCTGCACCCACTCCCCACAAGGCTCCCTGCCCCAAGATCCCTGTGGGATCCCTGCCAGCATTGAGGGAAGCAGGACCACAACATTGCCATGTTAGGAGGCAGCTGTGCTCCCCGGCACAGGCTGCTCGCTTGAGCCCTGGCCAGGGGAGCAGATGTGGGAACTGGCTGTGCCCGGTTCTCAGGATGGAAAGGGATTTTTCCTTCCCCATCCCCCAGCATCAATCACTTTTTCTGTTTGGTTTTAGCCAAACCAGAGGAAAAAAAAGGCTTCATGATGCAAGTAACATGAGCCGTGAGCCCCAGTCCCAAGCTCATGCCCAGCTCTGGCCAGGCTCTGTGTGCTGCTCTGCTGCCCTCCTCACAGCCCCATGCCCTCCACATTTTTCAGGCCCCCAGTGACCCCCAGAACTGCCCATCCTCAGGTTTGGATGGGCTTCATCTGGGACAAGATGAAGCCCAAGCACTGCTGACACTCACAGGGTGTCACCTGCACCTCTGGGACGTGTCCCCAGAGCTGACTGTCTCTGGGTCTTGGCCACCCACTGCTGACAGGTGACAGGGATTATTGCACCTTGTTTTGCAAGGGCTACTGCTGGACAGGTGACAAGGGACACAGCACTGCTTTCCTGCTCAGGGGGACACTGCACTGCTCCCAATTGATTCCCTGTCCTGTGCCAAGGCCAGCTGCTCCCCACAGAGCTCACCCAACCAGCTGCACACTGGCTGCAGTTGCCAGAGGATGTGTGCTCCTTGCAGAGCTGACCCACATCAGTGGCCAGGGGCAGCACAGGCCCAGGGGCACCAGGGGCTGCTCTGGGGGGCAGAACAGCTCCAGGATCCCTCCAGCATCCTACGGGACCCACAGAGAGATGTGGAAAACCAACACTGACATCAGCCAAAGGGTCTGAACAGGCTGCAGCCTGGCCAGGACCCTGGTGAATATGCCAGAGCCCAGAGAGATGGGGCAGGTGGGACACACCTGGGGCTGCACCCTCTTGGAGGGGCAGGGAGAGGGAAGGGACCCTCCATGCCTGCCCAACACTGAGCTGCTGTTGCTGGCCCAGGTTGCTGCCCACAGCCCTGCTCTGCACCAGCACTGCACCATCTGCTTCCAGTTTGGGACCAGCCTGTGCAGGCAGCACAGGAATCAAACAGCAGCTCTAACTCCTTTCATGTCCCATCCCCATAGCAAAGCAGTGAGACAGACCCATCCTGCACCTCCCACGGGCCCCAGGCAGCCCCCGAGCTGTTACCTTTTCAAGTGCTCCAGCAGGAAGAGGAAGGTGATGAGGTTGGGGTCAGGCAGAGAGCGGAGAAGGTGCATCATGCAGTTCTCCTTGGCAGCAGGATCTGAGAGGGCTGTAGACAAGGAAGGAGAGGGCTCAGGACAGGGTCTGGTGCAGCAGAAGGACCCACCATGGCCAGATGCCCCCCAGCAGTCAGTGTGTGGGCACTGGGGAGCAGCACCACAAGCCCTGAGCTGGCCTGGAGCCAGCAAGAACAAGCCAGGACCGAGTGGGTCGAGCTGGGAAGGACCCTTGGGAGTCTTCCAGCCCAGAGCAGGCAATGCCAAACAGAGCCACATTTGGACACCGACCCCTTCCCCATCCCCAAGGCCTTACCAATCCCCTCCATGAAGGCGGGGTAGAGTCTGTCAGTGAGGAGGGGCTCGGGCAGCTCACGGAAGTACAGCTTCAGCGTGCCAGCGATGGCATTGATGTCCATGTCACTCAGCATGACCAGGATGTCCTTGTTATCTGTCCAGAGAGCACCCACACGTGATGCCTCCTGCCCTCCTTCCCCTCTGGATCTCATCACTCCAGCTCTCCAGGCAGGCTGCCAGCTGGAGGGCAGGGATAGCACTGCTGGGTTCACAGCCCCTTTAGCCAGGCTGAGGCTGGGAAAAACCCGAGTGGTTCCCGCCTGGCTGGGCAACAGGACACGGAACAATTTGCAAGTCCATGTGCAACATTTCCCTGACTCAGTGTCTCCCAGGAGCCAGCCAGGAGCAGTAGCAGCTCAGAGGCATCGAGGCACAAACAAGGGCTGGGATCTCTGGGTGTTTGCTTTCCCAGTAACACCCTCCTCCTCATGCCCAGCCCCTCCCCGGGCCCAGCAGCACATTTTGCACACATTCAATGCGATAACCAGACCCTGGGCTTGCAGGGCAGGGGGTTCTCGGTGCCTGTGAACCCTCCCACGGGAACATAGTACAAAGGGCAGATGTTCCCCCAGGACACTCACTTGCATCAAAGACAGCTTTCAAGGCCTGGATGTCAGTGGCGACGCCAGAGATCCTGTAGATGCCGACCTCCTCGATGCCCCTCTTCTCCACCTCCTCGATGCACTGGCGCACGATGTAAGGCACCTTGGAGCGCTCGCGCCTGGCTCGGGAAGCAAATCCGTGAGCAAAGATTCCCAGGGGACCCCACAGCAATCAGCCCAGCCCTGCAAACCCTGGGCCAGGGGCAGGATGGGCCTGCTGGGCAGGAAGGATGGGGGTGGTGAAGGGAATGGGCAAGTCCCCAGCAGAGAGCAAAAGCTGAGCTCCCTGGGTGCAAGGATGGAGCAAGGGGACCTGGTGCAACCCCAAACCCACAGGGACCAAAGCACATCAGCCCACCCAGCCCTGCATTTACTTTGTCACGACGCTGATTTTGACCCCGAAGACACCGGTCTGCTTTTTGGATGGGGTCCTCTTCAGGCTCATGTCCCTGCTTGTGAACTTCATGGAGAACTCCACCTTGATCTGTGGGAGACAGGGGGTGAGTCCTGGCTGGCATGAAGGCACAGGGAAGGGGCTGCGATCCCAGAGAGGGGCTTGGGTCCCCCAGCCCCACTTACCCCATTCATCTCAATCACATCCATGTGCCAGTTTTTCGTCTGCACGGCCTGAGGATCCAGCTGCAGGGAGAGATGGTGTGTGAGCTCCACAGGGACACAGCCCCATGCCAGCCTAGTGTCCCCAAACACCCTTGATCCACAGATGGTGTAGGGCACAGGACATGCTCTTCCTGGGCAACATGCTGCTCATGACAAGAGGGTGGAGAGATTCCCCTTTGGGGTCCCTCTGGCCAAGCCCTGAAGCCAGGTGGGCTCAGCCTCCCCATCCTGCTCTCCCTGGAGCCCCTGCGAGGCAGTGCTTTAACACACACCCGAGCAGCAAGAAATTCCAAGAAATTAGGACTATTTCTAGCGGCAGAAACAGATGAAACAGAACTAGGGCAGCGTTTTCCATGCAGAAAAACAACATCTCCCCATAGCCAAGGCTATTTATAACCCCTGGGAATAACAGGCTCCGCTATTTCTGGCTTTGGGGCTAGCGGGGGACTCGGTGACGCTGCCCCGGCGCCCGGCTGCTGCAAAGAGGTGCCGGCATTCCCAAGGCCCCAGCACGTGCTATGGTGGGTTCCAGGCCCCAGGGCTGGGCAGAGACGGGTGCAGTTGCCTTTTGGGGCTTTTTGGTCCCCAGCTGGTGGTATCGACCCGGCCCCATCGATCCCTGTAATGCACAGGGCGGGCAGCAGGGCAGAGCCCGGCACTAATGTCCCCTTGGGGAAGGGGATGGGATGTAGGAGCTGGCAGGGGCTCCCAGGGCTGGGGGCACACAGCTGCCAGGAGACACTCACACCAAGCACATGAGGTCACTCTGCAAGGACACAGGAGTTTCCCACAGCTGCTGGGTCAGGAGATGCTCCGGGCAAGCGCAAAGATGTCCAGAGCTGCTGCTGCAGCCATAGAGCTGCTGTTCCCCTGCCCATGAAGTCACTGCATGTCATGATGGGGGGACTCTGGGGTCACTCATGTTCCCTCTGGCACACCAAGACCCCACGGTCCCAAGGACAGGCTCAAGCTGCCCTGGCTCTCAGCACAGACCCAGCACAGTGGCATCGTCCCATGTCCAGTCCCATGTCGTGGTGAGCTCGAGCAGCTCCTCAGCAACCGCAGTGCCACGGGAAACACTGTCGTCTCCAGCAAGGCAGAAATGCTGCTGTCCCCAGCATGGCCCAGGAATGGCTCCTGACACAGAACCCTCTCTGGTCATGGAAGCCCAGCCCGGCACATGGAAGAGCCCAGTGAGTGCCACGCTGCTTCCTCTGTGCCAGCCCTGCGGCTGCTGGGAACGGCAGCGGGGGGAGTGGAAGGAGGAGGAGGAAGGCTGCAGCTGCCCTGGGCTCCCATGGGACCCTGCAGCAGGTCTGGACACCAGGATCACGAGACTGCAGCCAGACCACTGCCAGCTCCAGCCCTTCTGCTCCAGATCCTCTGTGCACATCCGCAGCACCAGATCCCCCTGCACCCACCACGGCCAACACCAACCCAACACCACCTGTCCCAGGGCCTTTCATCCCTTCTCCCCACACATTCTCATCCTGCTCATGGCAGCGGAAGTGAAGCCCCTTTGCCCCCCAACCATGTCAGGAGCCATGGGCCTCCCTGCTCTGCAACACGATTTTAACTGCAACCACCACACACGCCTTCCCCGTTCCCATGCCCCAGGTCCCTCCGGCCCCAGTGGCCCTGGCAGCTCACATCTGGAAGGGTTTTAGCAGGGCTCTGGAGAAAGCTTTAATAAAAGCCAGGTTGGCTGCCGCCAGTGCCACAGACTTTACCCTGAGCACGTCACCTCCCCGCAGCCCCTTCCCCCTGGATGGGCAGAATCATCCCCATCCAGCTCCCTGCAGTGGCCAGCATGGCCCAAATTTGGGCTACTTCTGTTGGCCCCACCAGCCCAAGCTCCCTTGCAGCTGGAGTAGGCCCCTGAGCACCCCTGGGGCACTGTTTGTGGCCTGGCCCTGGAGCTCCTCTAACCTTTCCCCCCTGCACTCCGCACAGCAGGCAGCCCACCACGCTGCCCAATCCCCAAGGGAAGCAAAGCCACGTCCAATGCTTCGTCTCCAGGCGTGGGAGGATGGATGGGAGCATCCACCCACAGAGCCAGAGGCAGCTCCTGCCCACACAGCGCTGGCAAACACCCCATCTCAGCTACCACCACCATCTCCTTCTCCTCCAAAGGGAGCTGCCTTGCTCCAGCATGATGCAGGGACATCCCAGGTCAGTGGGGAACTGCTGGGCTGGGAGCCCTGGGGAGCAGCCTCCGTGCCAGCACTGTGCAGGATGAGGTGTCAGCTCCTCTAGGGCGGGTCAGATGGCTTCAAACACCAGCCTGTGCTTGGCGAAACACCTCAGCCAGCTCACCAGCACCTCTCAGGCCACTCCCTCCTGCATCTCAGGCACTCTCAGCCGTGGTGGTATCTGTGCCAAGCCAGCATCCACTGCAGTGCTGCTCTCATCCATGGTGAGGTGAAACAACCCTTGCTCCTGGCACAAGGATATGCTATCATTCTGGTTTCCCAAATTATCCAAAGGTGTTTGCTTGTAGAACAAGGCCCCAGGCTGAGGAGGAACAGGTGGCAGCATGGCAGGTGATGAACATCCCGGCAGCCCAGCAGCACTTGGTGTGTCCTGGGGAGGTTCCAGTGGCAGAGGGACCCGCGGTCCTGCTGGTGCTGACCCCACGACCTGCTGCTTGTGTTGTGCATGGGGTGACTCTGGACTTGAGGGGATGCGGCCACATCTTGGAATTCTGTCCTCAAGACACCTCCAGGCTGTGGCACTGTGGATACAGTTCCTACATGGGCAGTGGCAGCCAAGACAGACCCAGGCAGTGCTGCGTCCCCAGAGCTCCCAGGTAAGGAACTGGGAGGGCTCCAAGCCCTCATGGTGGCTTCTCCAGGGCCCCAAGTGCCAGGCTGCTGCAGCAGGGCAGGGGCTGCCAGGCTGGGCATGTCCCTTCCTCACACCTCACGCCCATGAGGTCACCCAACTGTCAGCCTGGGGTGAAGCAATCGGAAGCAAACTGGTGACTCAGTGAGCCAGGTCATCTCTGCCACAGCCCTGGGGAGCAGGATCCCAGAGGAGCTGCTACAGCCAGCGTTGCTTCCCATCAGTGCTGCATCCATGAACACCCAGGGATGCCCTGGCTCCAGCAAGCAGTTCCCCCACCAGACCTCCAGGCCAGCAGCTCCCTCCTCAGGGAACAGACAGTTTCTGAGCCGACCGGTGCTGTGGGGCAGAGCAGCCCCCCCACCAGCAAAGGCTGCCAGTGGCAAAGCACAGCCCCCCAAAAAGCAGCGATTCACAGCCCCATCTGAGAGCGACCTGAGAAGCAGCAGCGCCCGCAGCACATCGGGACCACACCGGGGTCACATCCTGCTCTGCAGCCCCAGTGCTCCCGGGCAGCAGCCGGCAGGGAAGCTGGCGGGCACAATGGGGACTTGTGGGGTTGAGAAACTAAACCCCTTCTTGTTTTGACCCAGCAACAGCCGGCGGCAGCCCCCAGGCAGCCTCCCCACACAGCCCTCGCTGCCCCTTAATCCCTCTGCGGGAGCAGCGGCACAGAATCGAGGTTAATGCCGCTGCGTCACAGGCGGCCCCGCCGCTGCCAAACCGAACCCCCACGGGCCCAGGCAGCTCCTGCCCGTGGTCACAGTTGAGACCTGGACCAGCATCTCCCTGCACAGGGGGACCCCACGCAGGGAAATCCCCAGGGGTTCCCATGGGGCTTTTGGGACGGCCTGTGAGGGTGCTGTCCCCCTCCCCTGCCCACCCCTGTCCTCCCACAAAGACGGGCAGCACTGGCTGATGTGGCTGCGACACAGCTGCGAGCTGAGGGAAGCCTGGATGGACCCGGGAGGGTTTGCAAATCAAGGAAGAGGGGATACACAGGCACCGAGTGCTGTAGCACCCCAGGAGCCCACTCCTGGTCAGCCCACAAGCATCTCTACCTCCTGGGCAAGCCCCGGGGCTGAGCAGTAGGACTCCCTGCCCGTCCTCTGCAGGACCCCTCTGTGTAAACAGCTCAGCCCTCCCAGCTCCCCAGCATACAGAGGGACAGGGAAGGAGGAAAACAAGCACCTCACAGGCTGCCAACTGCATCTAAGAGCTCCCAAAGCACCCAAACAGCTCTGTGCACGGACCACACAGCACTCGCTCTCCCCACAAGCCCCCCATGGCAGAGCCCCTCACCCCACAAAACTGCCCACCAAAAATCCATGCACAGCAGAGCCCAGCGACACCCAGAGCCCAGCGCCGTCCCCTCCAGCCATTCCCCCCTTTCCCCCGGAGAAGCACCTTCTGCCGGAGCAGTTTGCTGCGCACTCTGCCCCAGAGGCGGGCGCCCGTGTTGGGGGGTCGCTTCCCCTCGGGCTCCTCCACGCCGCGCTCCGGCTGCTCGCCCACGGGGCCGGGGCTGCCCTCCGGCTGCACCAGCACCTCCGTCATCGCGATTCGGCTCCGGGCAGGCGAGACGAGCGTGGCCGGGAAAGGTGCCCGGGGCTGGGTTAGGAGAGCACCCGCATCCTTTCTGCTGCGGGGGGAGGTCAGCGGGGGCCGGCGAGGGGAGCCCGGCTGGGGCGGCGGGGAGGCGAGCGGGCAGGGCTCATCTTCAGGGTGTGAGCCAGGCTGTCGAGGCAGCTCGGCAGCCCCAAAAGCCTCCCTCCCCCTGCGAGGAAGTGACTCAAAGGCAGCCCCCCCCCGGCGGCCCCCACGCGTTTAACTCTCGCCCTGCCGCCCGCCGCCGCTCGGGAAGGCTGGGGGGGCTGACTGGGCTCCCCGCCGCCGTTATCCGTCGTTATCCGCTGTTATCCCTTCCCTGTTATCCGCTTCGCAGCGCCAGCGGCAGTCGCGGCCCCGGAGGCATCGCCGCTGGTGGCTGCAGCATTCCCGGCTCCGAGAAGGAGCCAGGCTGGCTCTCCTGCTCCCAGTAAGTGGCACAGGGATGGGACTTTTGGGGTGTCCTGTCAGGCCTAGGGAGAGGTGGGGACCCACCATGGCCCCTCAGAGTACCCTGGCCCTTGTCAGCCCCACTGCCAGGGGGTGATGTGGGCAGGGGGATGGAAGCCCTGAAGAGTCCCTGCCTGCTGCTTCTCCTGATAGGCAGGAAGATGGGGAGGTGCAGGCTTGGGGGGGACTCGCACTGCCCCCCAGTTCATCCCTCAGCAGCCCCAGGAGTCCATATGGGTTACCCCGTGGATCCCTGCAGGTCTGGCGAGCCCCAACACCACAAATCTCCCCCTCCAGAGCCTCCGCCAGCAACAGACAGACGGACAGGCAGCAATTCCCTGAGGGTACAGCAGGCACCGTGCCCATGACAACACAGACTCTGCTCCAACAGCCACATCCCCCTGTGCATCAAACGGGCTGAGAAAAGCGCTGCCCCATCAACCTGAGACCCTCCCTTCATGCACCCACCTCCCACCTCCTCACACGCCCCAGCCTCTCTCCTCTGCAATATGGGCACAAGTACTCACAGCCTGCTTTGCCCACCCCAACATCCGTCTGCCACCCTGCCACAGCACCACACACCCCTGCCAGCACCCACCAGACACAGACCAGCTGCTGGGAGCAACTGGAACAGCTCAGAGCAGGGCTGAGCCCTGCAGCACAGGGGACACAAGCCCCCCACGGCAGCTCTACCTCGACCACAGCACGTTCCAACCTTAGAAACCCCAAACAAAACGGGGTTAACAACAACTAAACAGGGTTAATGCCAACCAGGAGTCATGCCTTTCCACCCTACAGCCAGTGGCACAGCACGGGGCGCCCACCCTCCACCAGCAACAGGGACAAGGCTCAGGGTAGGGGTCCAAGGCTCACCACACTGCAGACCCCTAAGGGCTCATTGCCAGAATGCTTGAGAGGAGGTTGGTGCCAACTCCAGCCACTCCATGGACCCAGCCATGTCCTCTGTGCTGGCAGGACGTGACTCCCACCCATGGCATCTCTGCAGCCTTGGGAGGCCCCCCACTGCCCACACAGAGGGGCTGCAGCAACCCCCTCACACACTGACCCACCAGTCCATGGTGCTGATAAGCTGCTTTTGTGACCAACCCATGTGCCTGCGTGGCCAGATTGGAGCTGGGCAGTGGGCACAGGGCTGGCTGCTGGGGGGGTGCAGCCATCCTGGCAGCCCCCAAAGCACCACAGACCTTTGCCAAGCTCCAGATGCCAGTGCTGGTATCTGGAACCAGCAGCAGCTCATGATGAGCCCAGAGACCAGACAGGGTAAGGACCACCCAGGGCAGCACCTCTGCCTGAACAGCTCAGGGAGAGGGCAGGGGGGCAGCACTGGGGCTTGGCCACAGCCACAGACCCACGAGTAGTGCTGCCCATTCTGCTCGTAGCTGTCCTGCCCTGCCACCCACTCCACCCCTGAGGCAGAGACCAAGCTGAGGCTCTGGGTGACAGCCCCAACCCTGAGACTGCTCCGTCCAGTCAGGCCCTCCTCGGGATAAGCAGCCCCAGGGCTTTCTCTCTCTCCCTTCCTTCCCCCACGACTTCTGCACGGCGGGTACGAGCTGTGCTGTCCCTGTCCCGACCCCCGCATCTCCCAGCATGACTCATGTTTGTTGATCCAGGCTATTTCCGAGAGCACAGCTGGACTGATCCCCGCGGGACATCGAGCCCCTTCCCTGCCCCGGCCCTCCTGCTTGGCCCAGTGCCACCCCCACACCACTTGTTTCCCAGAGGGAGGGCAACAGATGGGTGATTTCAGGTAAGAACAAGCTGCTGGTGAAGCCAAGCCCCCATCTCCCACCCTGCTGGTGCTGTCCCCCACAGCATCCCCTTCCCAGCAGAGTTTCCATGCTGCTCCCCACTCCCCTGGGACCTGCCCTCAGTTGCTTTCCCACGGAGCAGGCAGCCACACTGGGCCCTTTGAAGTGGCCTGGGGTTGAGGGCTGTGTCCCAAGCTTGACACTGTCCCCAGCACAGCTGGGAAGGCAGCCAGCCCGGTGGTCCCCACCAGGAAAACACAGGGGCACCCCCATCCCAAACCATCCTCTGCTGCCCTGGGCATCCCTGCAGCCTGGCCAAGGTGGGTGCTGGGGGAATGAGGGCTCTGGGGGCTGCCTGGCCCTCACTCCATCCTCCCAGACCTGCTCACCTGGGAGCATCTCAGGGCAGCCCAGGCCTCCATCCTTCCCTGCCTGGCAACCACCAATCAGAAGCAGCTCAGTCGTTGCCCTGGAAACCCCCGTTGCTATAACAGCAGCTGATGGAGGCACAGGGAAGGCAGATGGTGGCAGAGGGGGACAGGGGAGGGATGGGGGGCTGCACGCTCAAAGCCCTCTCTGGGGCAGCTGCCAACCCCCTCTCCACAGCCCCCCAGGACCACAGCACAGGAAGCAGTGGAATGGAAACACTTGAGCCCAGCTGGGACTGGATGCATATCTTGGGGGGCAGGTCTGGCTTTACCACCTCTGCAGGACTCCTCATTTTGTTCAACCTCCTCCTGCAGCCACTGTGCCCCAGGACCATCATCCACATCCCCGATGCCCACCAACCTCACTGCCTTCAATTCCACAATCCCTGTACCCCGTTCCCAAAAGCAGAGCTGCCTGTCCATGCTGCCAGGCATAACTCTCTCATCCCAGGCATAACTCCAGAGCAGCCCTCCCAGCTCTGGCCTCAAGAGGTTCACTGCTGGGTAAGAAAATGCCCCAAAAGCCCCAGCACATACCTGGATCTGCCCTTTGCCCATGATCTTGTCCACGATTTCATTGTTGTCCTTGTTGAGTTTGGTCTTGTCATAGCACTTCTCATAGCAGAGGATGCGCAGGGACTGGGAGCCCTCCAGCTCGATCTCGAACTCCTGGGGTGCAGAGTGAGGATGGCTCAACCCCAGCACCCCAGAGCAGCTCCAAAACTGGGGTTGAAGGGAAAAAGAGTGCAATCCCCTGCCTGCATCCCACCCTCCCTCACCTCGTTCCACTGCGGCTCCGTGGTGTCCCGGAAAACTCTGGTCTTGGCTTTGCTGACGAAGTAGCCGAAGGAGTCCACCTCCAGCGTGCAGTAAAGGTCTGGGGGAGCAGACACTGCTCAGCACCTGAGGAACATCCCCACCAGCTCCCCGGGGACCACAGAGCAGGGCCACATGCTGGACCCCAACTCTTCCGATCACCCCGGCCCCTCGGAGCAGGGGGGGCACCCACACTTACTGGCAGACTGCTTGAAGCCCTTGGCAGAGTGGACAATGACGTGCAGGAACCCGTAGAGCCCGGGGGACTCATCATCTATGATGGGAGAGCAGAGGCTGTGTCAGGGCTCAGCTGACACCTCGCGTGCCCCAGGGCTGTCCCCAAGGCAGCCTTGGCCACAGGAAGTACTGGGTACCTGCAGTGACATCCAAATGTCCCCAACCCCCTTGAGGGCTGTCCCTAAGTTCTGTATTCCCTGCTGACATCCCAAGCTCTCCTGCTGCTGGACAGCCCTGGGGGAGGTTCCCAGTAGTGCTGGCTGGGTCTCACCCTGGGGACACTCTGGTCCAGCCCAGCCCACTGGGGTTCTGGAGAGACCCCAAAAGCAGACTCGTGCTGCAGCTGGGATGGCTCTGCCTGGGAACCCGACTCTGCTCCAGCAGTGCCACCTGGTGGGAAGCTGTCCCCTGCACACCACGGTCCGCAGCAGGACCCAGTGGATACTCACCATCCTTGTTGCTGGTGACTGGGATGTTGTGGACAGTGCGTAGCTTGAAGCAGGATCCTGTGAGCACCTGGAGCTCCACTGAGCTCAGGACAAAGGCCTGGAGGTCTGTGAGAGGACAGGAGAGGAGCTTCAGAGGGATGCAGCCAGCGTTGGCCATGGGAACTGGCAAGCAGCAGGCTGGGATGCTGTGGGACCTCCCTGTGGCCCCTGGTGGAGCCAGAAACACCATGAGGGCCTCAGCAGCCCCAAATTTACCCTTTTTCTGCAGTTTCTGGATGGCCTCCCTCCACTCGGACCGCTCGTAGTCGGAGGACAGCAGGAAGAGGTAGCTCTGTAAGAGAGAGGGGGATGTGTCAGTCTGTGTGCAGGCAGGGCTGAGCCCAGCCCCCAGCCCACCCTCCTCACCTTCCCGTTGCGGTTGTGGATGCGAAAGGGGATGGCGGGCGAGTTGAGGAGCAGCCAGAATTCGTTTTCAAACATCTTCTTCTTGAGGCGCTCGATGGCCCGGCTCTGCCCCTTGTTGGCTTTCTGCAGACAGGGAGCAGAGAGGAGCTTTCACAAGTGCCCCTGGTCCCCATGTCCCCTTCCTGGCCCCCAGGGAGGGCCCCCCCCCAGTAGCAGCTCGCACACCCTGCTCTCACCTCCTTCTGCACCTCGCTCTTGATGGCTGAGATCTTCATCTTCATGTCCTCCAGCTCATGGTCAGGGATGACGTGGACCTGCGGGCAGTGCTCCGACTCCTCCGGCGAGGGGAACACCAGGTCGGCCAGGGGCACGTACCACTTGCAGTCGTACTGCTGCTGCTTCCTGTGGACAGGGCACGGATACTGACTGATGCCTGACCCCCTCCCTGGCACATCCTCCAGCCCACTGGGGGACAGAGGATTGTGACACATTCCCCCTGTGCCCAGCACCCTCCTTACCCCACCGCCGTCTTCTTCAGCTTGGCACAGAGCAGCACGTCGGTGAAGAGGAAGACGTGCCGCAGCTTCCGCGAGCCCTCCGACAGCTCCACCAAGAAGCCATCCTTGACAAGCTGCCGGGTCTGTGGGGCAGTGGGGCGGCTCTGAGAGCGGGCAGGGAGCAAAGGGCAACCAACTGTGCGAGTGGGTGCTCCTGTCCCTCTCTGTGGCTCAGCCACCAGGAGTATGGGAAGGTCCGTGTCCTCTGGGTGCTATTTTGAGTCAATAGGGCGCCAGCAAGCAGCAAGGACCAGGTAGAGCCCTAACACTGTACCCAGAACTGCTCTGGGGGTTTAGAGCACCATGGAGGAGCACCATGGAGTTCCTCAGAGTGGAGACACCAGCCAGGGGCTGGCAGAGGGCTCAGCCCTCACCTTGTGCCCTGCCACTGCCCACCCCACTGGCTCACCTCGCCCTTGGGGGTGGTGACTGCTGTCCTCCGGGGATCGATGTCCTCATTGATGCTGGACAGGAAGTTCTGCGAGATGCGGAGGGCGTCCTGGAGCAGTGGGTAGTCAGGGTGGTCGGCTGGGGTGTGCTTGAGGAGGTCCTGGAAGGGGACAGGCACAAGTGAGCAGCTGGAGAGCACCCACCCTGGCAAATCCCCATCAGCACTCCCCATGGCTGCAGGTCGCCCGGAGCAACAGAGACAGAGCCTCCCACCCCAGGACTGGTGTCACAACCCTACCCCAGAACTGGTGTCACACTCACGTGCAGGACGAGGGTGCTCCGCGTCACCCGGTCGATGGGTTTATACAGCAGTGCTGAGGGGAGAGAGAAGGTGTCAACAGCCACCCCTCCCGGAGCCCTGGCCCCTCTCCCACCCTGGTCTGCACAGAGCCCTGGGTGAGCATCTGGGATCCGTTCTACAGAGAGCCAGCAGCAGCTGGACCATCACGTCACTGCCAGGGGCAGTGGTGAGCCACCAGTGCCACAGCCCCGCTCCCTGCTGCGCTGGGGGCATGGGGAACCACGGCCAGGCTGGTGTGTGGTCACAGCCACGGTGACACCGCTCCACCCTGACTGCTGGATGGGATGTCCCACCACAACTGTGTCAGCACATCCCCCACCCCACCATGGCAAAGGATCCCCCCGTGCGTGGTGCACCAACACTGCCGTTGGCTGTGGAGCGGAAGAGCTGCTCGTCACCCACAGCAGCTTTTGCTTTTTCAGTTTCCCTTTTGGCTCAGCAGTGGGTCCTATCCCTGCTCTGCCTGCTCTGCCACCCCATGGGACATCCTGTACCCACCACCCCAGCCAGCCCTGAGTGCCAGGGGAACCCAGGCTGCTTCAGCAGCAGCAAAACCCCCACCTACAGAGAATGCCTGGGCCAAGGCATCATCCCAATGCCACTGCCCTGTGTCCCCTCCCCACAGCCTCCCATGACTGCATGGGAGGTGAAGCTCCATCTGGGGCAGGGCAGCAGAGCTGCTTCAAACATGGGGCACAGACACCCCCTTTCTCCTGCCATGCAACCTCCCAGCAGGAAACCAGCCCTGGAGGCTCTTCAGAGGCACATTTCACTGGAAGCAGCCAGACCCTCCTTCTCCTCCCTGACTCTTTGGGCAGGCAAAGGCACAGAGCCCACTCACAGTGCTACTCCCCATGCCTGGCCACTAGTGTTTCCTCAGGCTGGTTCCAGACAGGCCAATGCCTCTGGGTTTTCCCTTCACTTTGGAGCACTTCCCCAAACTGCCAGTGCCAAGAGGGGCCAAGTTTTGAGCCGTGGGAAGGGAAGAAAAGCTGCCACCTCCTCACCCTGTGCTGAGTTGGGGGGGGCTCCCACCCCCTTTACACCAGAGGATGCTGCCTTGTGATGCCCAGTCCTGAGAGAGGGACCCCCATCCTGGTGAACTGGGGGTCTCTGCTCAGGAGGTGAGGATGCCAGCCTGGACCCTAAACAGAGGCTGCATCCCCCACAACCCTGTGCCAGCGGGCAAAGCCAGAGCCCCACTCCCTGCAACAGCCAGCAAGAATCCTGCTCTGGGATAGAGGGGGACAGGCAAGGCGTTCCCCCTTTCCACCACCCTACGCCCAGGGGTAGGATGGACCCTCACGCTGCCATCGCTACAGGCACACTCAGAGCACTGGGGGGCACTGGGAGGGGCTATCCCGGCTCAACGGAGGAGCCGACACAGTCCCGCCAGCCTGGGACCCAGACACGGGCAGCAGCAGGCAGGGGTGCCCGGCGCCTCTCCTCCCAGCCACGGAGAGACGGACATTCCAGCCCCACGACGCTCACAGCCTCCGGCAGGCAAATGGGGACCCCTCCCTATTCCCATCCGCGCGGCACAGCTCAGGCAAGGGGGGATCCCCCCAGCCCAGGATCCCCCCGCCCATCCAAGCTCCTCTATCCCGCTGTCGGCACGAGCCCCTGCCCGGCGGGCACGGCGAGCGCGTGGCCGCGTGTGCCGGAGCCAAGATGATTCAATCCAGCCTGGAACAAAGACGCTCCCAACTTCAGGCTGCAGAGCACGACGCAGCCTCCAGCCCCCCGCCCCGGGCAAGCACAGCCAGCCCCGGGCCAGCATCCCCGCAGCATCGCTCCCCAGCGGCACCCCCAGTTCGGAGCCGCCCCCCTCGCCTCACCATAGGTGCAGTTACAGCAGAGCCGGACAATGACGAGGATTTCCATGGCAGCCCCGTCTCCGCGCAGCCATCGCTGCCGCCCCGCAGCAGCTCAGCCCGGCTGCGACACAGCACCGGCCCCTCCGCACGGCTCTGGGCACGGCCGGCGGGCGGGGAGGAGGGGTGGGCAGGGGGTGGGGGGCTGCTGCACGCCCACAGCATCCTAAAGAGCTGCGACACCCCCCACCCCCTCCGCCCTTCTCGCCGGCTCCGCACACGGGCGCACAAAGGGCTCCGCTCGCGGGAGCCGCTCGGTAATTCCTGCTCGGTAATTCCTGCTCGGTAATTCCTGCTCGGTAATTCCTGCTCGGTAATTCATCCCCGCCGGTCCCGCGGGCAGACAAAAGGCTGCGTCCCCCTCCCCGCGCCCGCCGTACCCTCCATGGTGACGGACGTGTGGCTCTCCTTCGAGTCCTTGGGGCCCTTCACCTTCAGCTCCTAGGGAAGGAAAGGGCCATCAGTGCAGCCCGCGGGGGGCTGGGGGTGGGGGTAAGGTCATTGCTCAAGATCATGGGGTCCCCCCAACCCTTTCTGCACCCTGATATTTCTCCCCGGCCCCAGCCTGGCCACGCTGGGGGCCACACGTGGGTGCTGGGTGGAGGTGTGGGCTGTACAGGATGCTGCCTGGCTGGGAGCAGCTCTGGCTGTGCCCAGCAGTTGGGATGATGTGGTGGTGATCCCACCCAGATGAACAGCTCTGCTGTTGAAGGGCTGGAAAGAGCAGGGAGCCGTTGCAGCCACGGAGGTCTCTGTTTCTATAGGGGAGCCAGGCACGGAGCTGCATCCAGCAGGAGACAGATGAGCCACAGGTGCCCAGCACCCATGGTCACTGGATGGGGCGAGCTGGTGCAGGCTGCCCTGGCACCCCTGACACGGTGACAGCGAGGGCTGAGCCCAACCTGAGCTTGCACAAGGTGAGGGACAAACTCCTGCAACGCCCAGAGATCACAAGCCCCCAGCAGAGCCACCGATGGCTCAGGCCTTGGGGACAGTCACTGGGAGTCCCCAGGGCAGGGAGAGCATCTCCACAGGGCAGTTGCAGTCAGCTCAGCCACAGGAATAGCATTCTCTGCCCTGTCCTGGGACACCCTGGGGAACACCCTTGTCCCACTGGCACAGCCCTATCCCAGCTTACCTCAGAGATCTTCTGGAACTGGTAGTTGCTCTGGCTGCACTTCTCTGCCGTCTCCAGGGCGATTTTGTAGTTATCCACAAAGGCCTTGTAGACGCCCAGCTGGCTGGCCTGCGGGGAGCGGGGGTTAGCCAGGCACCCAGCAGGATGCTGAAGCCCCTCTGCAGCACAAGGAGCCTGGCAGCCCCTGAGGGCACTCTGTCCAGAGTTGTCCCCTCCTGGCAGGACACTGCCACACCACAGCCATCTGGGCAGCCACACATTTGGCTCTGCAGGGAAAGCTCTTGCCCAGGGCAGGACAGTGGGGCTCCTGTCCAGTCCTGTGCCCCAACAAAGCTCCAAAATCCAACAGAGAGATAACAAGTGCCTAGAGAGTAGAAGCTGAAGCAACAACTGCTTTCTACTGCCCTTCAACCCACCCTCTCCTCCTCCTCTCCCCAACATGGCCACAGCACCCATGGGCACAGCCCATGCTCCCACTGTACATCCAAAGCAGCAGCAGGACCCGGCCCTCCTCTTCCAAGTGGAGAGGAAGGTGCATACCAGCTTCTGGAAGAGGTGGCCCATGGTGACGTTGCTGTCCCACTGCTGCACCTTTGGGCACAGGCTGTCATAGAACTCCTTGTGGATCTCATAGATGTCCTGGATCTTGTAGAAAATCGTCTCAATCTGCTGCAGGGTGAGGACAGGCTGCGACGTGGTGGCCGTGGCCTTCAGTGGCTTCATGGGCTGCCGAAGGAGAAGGGAGAGCATTTAAGATGAGGGCTGGGAGGGGAACACTGGGGACGAGGAGGATCTGAGTCAGCAGCAAGGGCTGCCCAGGACAGGTCCCAGCCAGCAGCTGCACCAAGGGGTACTCCGGGCTTGTGCATCCCCGCAGACTTCCCCATGGTGGTGACCCCGCATTGTGCAGCCGTTTCTCGGCCATGAAGGTCAGCGAGTCCACGAGAGGAAGCAGGGCTATAAATACCTCCCCAATGGGCAGCGGGGAAGGCGAGAAGGGGCAGCCAGGCCAGCAAGGCTGGCTCCAGTGTGGCTCCTGAAGCTTTGCCCCCACCCAGGCAGCACCCAGGCCAGACCTGCCTGGGGAAAGCTGTCCAGGAAGAAATTACTCCACCCATCCATCCACCTATGCCTGCTGGGGACCATCCCTGGAGGGGCTGTCCAGTCTGGGGGCTGTGCTCACCAACAAGAGGGCCTCCAGCTGGTTGATGTAGATCTCCTCACTGGCCAGGAAACCCGAGAGCACCAGCTTCCGCATCTCCAGGCCTTTGCCAGCCTCTCGCTCGCCCTATGGAACACAGCAAGGAGCCTGGCTGAGCCAGCAAGTGGCACAGGAAGAGACAGACACCCTATCCCACCAACCCATCCCTGGCATCCCCACATAGGCACATGTCCCTGCCAGTGCTGGGAAAGCTCCGTGGAAGGCCCGGGCATGTGCCCGAGGGGCAGCAGAGCCCAGCTGGAGCCAGCTGGGAAGCCACGAGCTGTGCTGGCTTCTCTCCCCTCCCTGCTCCTGGCTGGCCAGGAGCCCGGCACGGCTGGCAGTGCTCCAGGATGGCGCACAGCATGGCAGGACTCTCCCAGGGCAGAGTCCAGAGACGCCCAGTGAAATCATGCTTGGCGTGGATGGTGCTGCCACGTGATCCGGCACCACCCTTTCCCTCGGCTGAGGTTTTCCCAGGAAAGTGCCACCCCAGCAGTCACTGCCTGGTGGCACTGGGGCAGCTCCCAGTGCCCAGGTCTGCTGCAACACTGATGCTCTGGTGGCATGACTCTCATGGCAGGGAGATGGCTGGGCTGGGGGGCTCTGTGACCCTCAGTGAGGCTCTCCCAGTGTCCAGACATGGGTGCCTCAGCCCCTGGACCATCCTGTCATGCTTTAGTCTCCCCCCCTTAAAAATCACACTTGAGGACCAGGCTTTTGCCACCCAGACAGGAGCCAAGCACAGCCATGGGGGCATCAGTCACTCTGGGCCATCAGCCATTCAGAATGGTCTGGGGGGGACATTGGTCCTGCCTCACCTCTGCCCACACCAGCCCTGGCCGTTGTGCCAGGAGAGGTGACAGCTGCAAACACCAGAGGGGCACAGCCCCGAGGTGGGCATGGCTGTGGAGCAGCACCTCCCTGTCCCACTCTTAGTGTCCATCAGCTGGCCCTGGGGACTGCTGTGCCAACCAGGGTGCCCAACCTGCCAGGCTGCACCATTAAGGCTGGGCCACAGTGACTGGTGCAGCAGAAGGGCGCATAGGGCGGCCACTTTTATTCACTGGGAGTTCGTGGGCTCTTTGCCACATATTAGTCACGGGCTCTTCCTGCTTCCCCCAGCCTGGGCCCTGCGCAGGAGCTCAGGAGATAAGGGGCCCACCCACGCCTGGGGCCCACAGCTCCCCACAAGGACGATGCCAACTGGACCCCCATGACCCAGAGAAGCAACCCTTAATCAGGGTCCAGTGGCTGCCCCGTGCAGGAGACCCCAGGGAGAGCAGGGGCAGAGCCCTCCTCCAGCACCCCTGGCAGGGTGGGCATGAGAAGGGTGCTGGGTTGCACCTGCCAGCACAGGGGTCGCCCCAGCTCCAGGGTTTGGGACTGTTTAGGCACTGCTGGTGGCCTTGTGGTGGGGCACAGTGTTAACCAGCCCCTTCCAGAGCATCCAGCTGAGCCACACAGCCCCTCCAGCAGCAGGCATGGCCCTACTTCCCCCTAGGAGGATGACTGGGTGGTAACCCCACTCTGAGCCCTTTGCACCCGATCCCTGGCACAGCCCTGCCCCGGCCACAGGCAGTCCTGGGGGCATGGTGGGGCTGAAGTGATGCTCCTGATGCCCCCCAGCTCTGCCCTCCACCAGCACCCGCCACATCGACCCAGGAGCTGCCCCGTCACCTGGGCATCACCAGCACCAGCAAGATGCCCCTTGTCCCCCCGCCCCCTGCCCAGCACGGGAGCAGGGTGCCCCCGCCGCCCACCTTCTCTCCGGCCGAAAACGGAGACCCAGGGCTGGTGGGGGTTCCTGGCTCAGAGTCATCTTCATCCTCCAGCACTTTATCCAGGTACCCTATGGCCTCCTCTTCCTCCTCCATGGCCGAGCGGGCAGCGGGGGAGCAGAGGGGACCCCACAAGGCTCCGGGCAAAGGGGTTCACACGGCTGAGCTGTCCCAGTCTGACTCAGCTCTGGACGCCGGCCACCACCGCGGGATGAAAGGAACCATTATGGGATTCCCCGGTGCTCCCGCCTGCCCCGAGCTCCGGCCTTCGTCCGCGGCGTCCCGGCCGCTCCCGGGGCGGCTGCTCGGCCACCTCCGAGCGGCGGCAGCGGCACCTCCGGGCTCAGCAGCGGCGCGACCCGAGCGCCAGCCCGGCCGTCCGCCGGCCTCGGCTCGGCCCCGGGGGGCCGCCGGCGGTGGAGGGGCCGCTGCCCGGCGCTCCGAGCCCCAGCCGGCCCCAGCTCCGCCCTGCTCGCTACAGGAAATGCATCTCTCTCGGCGCTGGAGGTGGGGCTGCTCCGCCGCCGGAGTGTGGTCAAGGCTGGGGCGGCAGAGCAGCCGCCTTCCCCAACGCCGGCACAGCCTGGCGGGTCCAGCACGGGGAGGGGTCCCCTGCACCCTGCCAGGCCACTCGCCCGCCAACGAGAGAGCACCATCCTGCCTGCTGCGGCCCCTTGGATCCCTTCCTTGGATCCCGGCAGAGCCGGACCATGGGGATTGCCACCAGCGAGAAGTGACCTTGCAGGGCAGCAGCATCACCAGGTCCCGTAGGGGGACCTGACTCTGCACCCCCAAAAAGCACCAGACCTCTCCCAGGCCAGAGGGGATGTGGGGCAGGGTCATGCAGCTGAGCCACCTGCCTTCCCACATATCTGCCCCACATCCCACAGGGATCAGCGCTGGCACCTCCCTGCTGCTCCAGCCTGACCACAACCCCGGGCCAGCTGGGACGTGGGGACACGAGTGACACTTCTGAGGAACACTGTGGGCCTTGGCAAATGGGGCAAGATCAGGCTGGAGAAGGGGACACCAACACAAGAGCTATTTCAGCAGCTTTCCCCACGCTCCTCAGAAGCAAAAGGGGAACCTGTGGCCGCATGTGCTCTGCCCACAGGAGCCATCTCTCCTGCCTGCACCCGTCTGAGCCTGGAACAAACTCCTGCTGTGAGAAGTGGGCAGGGACACAGACACGGGGACTTTCCAGAGCCTGTGTCCAACCCTCTATCCATGACACAGCTCAGGCTTTGCCCAGACTTTGCTAAGAGGGAACTGTGCCAGGACAACATGACCCTGCCTGCCACAGCTGGGTCCCCAGAGTAGGGAATGGTCCCTGTTCAGGGAAATGCTACCCACAGTGCCAAACCCAGCAGCACCCAACCAGGGGCTGGGGCAACACCCAACATCATTTCCATGGCACTCATGTTTCCCAGGTGGGAGAGGGAGGGTCAAGATGTGTCTGCATCAGCAGTCACAGGCCTCAAACATAGCCACAGCTGCCCCAGGAGCTTGCAAGATGAAATGCCCCACCAGAAACCTTCTCCAGCCCTCTCAAAGGCAGTGACACCAGTCCTGTCTCACCAGAGAAGAGCAATGGAGTGAACCTGGCACCCTGTGCCATCAGCCACAATGGGACCCCTATGAAACCCTGTGCCCCTGGCAGGGCTGGACACACAGGGACAGAATTTGGAGGGTGCTCTGCCAAGCCCTGGCACAAGCAGCTCTAGAGATGGAGGCAAAGGCAGCACTGAGCTCCAGCGCTTCCCAATCCTGTTAGTAGCAACCAAGTCATCATCCCTGCCTGTGCCCGGACCCACTGTGCCCCACCAGCCCCCAAGGTCACCCCTTTGCCAGCACCTCCCCTCCTGCTCCCCAGGGCCACTCTCTGCTATCCCTGATGGTCCCGATGACGGAGCTCAGCGCTCACAGATCCAGCACCGGAGTGTCAGGGCTGGGGCTTGAAGGGCTGTGCTGGAGGACAAGGAGCCCTAAGCCCGAGTTTGGAGCCAGCCCCGGGAGCGGGTCCCTCCCACAGCGGCGAAGGGCAGGACCCCCCTCTCCCTCCCCGGGGGCTGCCCGGAGCGCTGGGTGCCTGGAGGACGATGCTGCTCAGAGAGACCCAGGGGAGGAAGCCACACCTCTCCCCCTTTTGCCTCAGCATCCGGGTCAGGAGCTTAACTCTTTCCACGACAAAAAAAAACCCCTTAACTTTTCCCAGCCCGGGCAGCGGCAGCACCGAGGGATCCCCCAGCCTGGGGCCAGGCAGTCGCTCCTCGCAACAGCCCCGCGAGGCCAAGGCCAAGGCCTGCCTGGACCCCGCAGCTCCCGGGCTTTATGGAAGCTTTTATTCTGGAAAAAAAAAAAAAATCCTTTTTTTCCCTTTGCAGCTCTTCAGGCATCCCTCCTGTGAAACACCCTGGGAAACCCAAGGGCTTCGAGGGGATGCGCTCGGAAGAGCAGGGGTTAAATCTAAGTTCTCCGGTGGGGGGGGGGGCACTTTGTGTCCCCCCCGGGCTGGTGACTGGGTCCCCGAGTGCCGCTAGATGGAGCCGGCAGCCCGGCGGAGCGGCTGCGCCCCGTCCCAAGGGCTCCCGGAGCTGGAGACACCGCGAAACCCCGCTTCCAGCACGCCCGCCTGGGCTCCAGCCCCGGGACCCCTCTCTCCGTCCATCCCGTGCCCTTCCAGCTCTGCCACCGGCGTGGCACGGCGGGGCAGGGACACAGCGTGTCCCACAGGCACGGCATCCCCGGAACTGCTGCTTCCCAAACGGTCAGCAGGTTTTAGGATACCAGGAATACTCCCTCAGGTCACAGCAGCACCAGACCACCACTGACACACCGAGCCGGACACCCGCCTGCCCCAACTCACCCGCCCCGGCGCCCCGAGCACCTACCCCTGTGCCGAGGCCGTCGGTGGGTGTGGGCGAGACGCCGTCCCCGCTCTCCTGGCCGCGGGCGCTGAGCTGGGGGGACATGGTGGGCGACTCATCGATGTAGGGCATGGTTTCCGAGCCCTCTGGCAGCGCCTTGGGCTCCTCGTTGCCCTCGGCGTCGTACTCGTCCGCACCATAGTTGAAGTCTGACGGGGAAGAGAGGGTGGCCGTGAGCATCCCGGCACTGGCACGGCCGAGGGTCACCACAACCACCCCGGCCTGTGGTCACCTGCGGGCAGCTGACCCCGTGTCCCATACCCAGGGCCACGTACAGACACACATGCCCATACCCACAGCCCAGCCCAGCCCAGCCCTGCTGTGTGCTCAGCCGAGCAGGCAGGGCATCACATATCACACGGAGCATCCTCGCCCTGCAGGCATCCTCTGCTCGACACACTTCCCTATATTTGAATAATTAACAGAACCGAGAGGCCGAGGGCCTCGTCTGCGCAGGGACAGCTGCTCTGCCAGACGCTCCAGCCCCATGCAAGCAGCTCTGCCCTCCCTGCCTGCCTGCTGGCCACTACCCCTGTGCCATCCCCGGGCAGGGATGGAGCTGGGCTGGCAGCCACAGCCGCCGTCCTCCCCGCTTCCCCGCACCCACACTCCTCGGAGCGTGGGAATGGGTGCCAGGACGCCTGGATCTGCAGCACAGAGGACAGAGCCACCCCCCTGGAAGAAGGGCAGCTCCACAGTGGGTGGGCAGCTCAGCCCATGATGGAGGACCAAAGGGGGCTGCTTTTCCCAGTGCAGGATGAGGCCCCCAACACGCCAGGACAGCACCCATTTTTGGATGCCCTACACTGACCCACAACCCCACCACCACCCACACACAGACCAGGGGAAGCCAATTTGGGGAGCCAGAGCCCCAAGGGGTAGTGGGGGAACTCCAGAGTCTGTGGTGGGTCCCTGGGGCGCAGCAGGGGACCGGGGTACATCCTAACCTGTTACCATGGGAACGGCAGCGGCTCGGTGGCAGCGGGAAGAGGTGGCTGCAGCAGCCCCGAGATGCTGACAAAGGGGAGGGGGAAGGGAGCCCGGCTGCAGCAGGGGTGGCTGTGGGGTGCAGCCAGCACCCCCACCCTGAGCTGCAGCCAAGACCCCCTCAGCATCCCCAAAAGAGGCAGGGGATATGGCTCAGCCAACACGACCCCAATCCCACAGCAGCCCCCAATCCCCTCCCATCCAGCAACCCCATGGATCTCTGGACCACACATCCCCACAGGCACAGACAGCATGGAGACCCCAGCGAAGACCCTGGCTGATAACCTGGCCAAAACAGGGTGCATTGGGGCTGGAGCAGCCATCCCAGACCAAACCCCACACTGTTGCCACTTCATGCTCCCACGGCCCTGCCATCCTGACCAAGGACTCCCCTGGCTCCCACCAACACTGCTCAGTGCATTAATATTGCATTCAGCTTCCTAGTGGAAGTGGATAAATCTTTAAATCAAAGAGTGTTGCAAAGCACTCAGGCCAGGAGCCCTGCCAGTGCCAGTGGGGAGGGATGGAGGTTCCCACCCTGCACCTGAGGGGGATGAAAGAGAGTCCTGACAGGGGCCAGATGCATCCCATCTCTGCCAGAACACCACAGCCCCTCTCAGCTCTTGCTTCATTAGCAATTAGTTGATAATAATCATTAGCACATGGGGCCACTCTCACCGGGCCACCACAGCCCAGGTTCAACCCAGGAGCTGACTACATGGGCAGAGGAGGGGAAGCCCATGATTCCTCAGCTTCCAGGGAAACAGGATCCCTGGCTCTAACCTGTCCTGCCTCCTCATGGCAGGATGTCCTCAGTCTCTTCTGCCTTTGACAGGTGCCAGCTGTGGTGCTTCCAGCACCATCCAGGAGCGTGGCAGCATGAGGTTCATTAGCAGTGGTGTCCCCCATGATGGCCACCTCTCCAGTACACCCACCCCACGCAGCTCCCCTGAGTCCCCTAAGCTGAGCACTGTCCCCAGGCTGGGGATGTCCCAGAGAATCCCAAACCTCTCACCCAAGTGCCCTTGCCCATCAGGTGGGGCCAAAAAAGGAGCCAAGGCAGCAGAGAGGGGACAAAGCTGATGGTCCCCACCAGGAACACCAGCTCAGAGGCCACCAGGCTCCCCTGCCCTCCCTCCACCATGGCCAAAGTTCTGCAGCTCCAGGCTTAACCACGGGGCAGGCAACAGGGACACCCAGCGTGGCATCATCACTGTGGGCCTCCTGGCAACCCAGGGGTGGTGGCTCAGCAGCCAGGTAACGAGAACACAGCGTTAATGAGGCGGCTGGGGAGCCTGGGAGGTGACACACACAGCAGTGCTGGGGAGAAGTTGGCATCGATGGCACAGAGGGGGGAGGGACTGGCCTGCGGGGACACAGCAATGACCCGGCTCTCCCACTGCTACCAGTTGGAGCAGATCTACATCCCAGTCCCAGACTAGAGCTGGGGATGAGATCTCCAGGCAGTGCCCCAAAGAGAGGGATTCTGCCTTGCCTGCAGGATGGAGAACAAAGCCACGTCCTCGTGACTCCAGCTGTGCCACGCGTGGCTGTGCATTATTTATGGGGCTCTCACCTGGGGAGCTCAGGAAGAGGAACCTCCCCAGCACTCCCAGAAGCCACTACAGGGAGGGAACCAAGCACCACCGAGCAGCCAGGGCGGGCAAAGGGGGCATTGCTGGGTGAGGGGACATGGAGGGTCTGGCCCTGTGTCTCCCTGCCTGTGGGGTGCTCATGCCACCCAGGCAACCCAAACCCAGCACGTCCCTCCCTCCTCCCCCACAGCTGCATTGCCCCTGCAGCCTGTTCCTGTGCCCGTGCCAAAACCCAGAGCTATTTTTGCTCCTGCTTTTTAGCAGCAGTGGAAATCCTCCTGCTCCACCCCAGGGATGGGGACCAAGGAGAGGGAGGCAGCCTGGCCCCGGGGAGCCACTCTGGGGGGCAGAGACACCCCAACCTGAAAGAGCCTTGTAACCCTGACCCTGCACACAGCCCTGGGGCACTGAGCTGGATCCAACCCCACAGTGCACCAAGGGCTGACACCCATGGGATGCTGACACCCATCAGGGCAGGGCCCTGTGGACTGGCACATGGACACAGCAGGGTGACAGGGCCAGGAACGAATCCCCATGAGGGATTATTTTCCCCAGGAAATTGTTTCTCCTTCGCCACATCTTCCCAGGACTGACCCAGGCTAATACCAGCATGATGGTCCCCAAAAGGGAGCTCAGCCAACAGCAGCAGCCAGCTCCTGCCCAGCCCAGAGAGGCAGCACAGTCACAGCAGCTCACGGTGGCATTTCCTTCACTTTCCAGCTGGACACGTGCTATTCCCTGACACCTCGGCAGTGCACCAGCACACTCCAATGCCCACCCATTCTATCTCATTTCCAGGAGAAGCCCAACATCCACAGGGAGCCTGGGAGATTTTGGGGAAGCGCCATGGTTTCCCTGTGCCTGGGTGAAAATTCACCATGACAACACAGATGCGTGAGCTGGCCTCGGACCTGCCTCCATGGGCCTCCTCCAAAGGGTGGCTCGACACAAACAGCACCTCCTCCACACCACCACTGCTTTGCCCAGTGTGATGAAGGCTGGACTCTGCCCTGCATCCCCCAAAATGTGGGCACCCCAAGCAGCCTCTCCCACGCCTTGGCAAGGGCAGCTGGAAGAGGATTTGGGATGGCAGAGCTGTGGCTTTGCAGAGATGCCGTGGCTGGGAAGGAGGGTGCAGTGGCTGGGGCTGGATGTGCCCCCCGGGCTCCAGCCCACACACCTGCACAGGCTGCACAGCCACGCCTGACCCTGGCACTGCCACGGCCAGATGCAGCCTCCAGCTGTGGACATAGAGGCTTTGGGCTGGAAAACTTGGGGAGGGGGCTCAGCCCTATGCAGTGTGCCCCCGGTGGCCCCTGCTCCCTCTAGGGCATGACAGATGCCAGATCCACACATGGGCATGCTCCAGAGCATCCCACCTTCCCACGCACCCGCGCCAAACCTCGCTGCCCTGCAAGCACCAGGCTCCGAGCTCAACACTGCACCCCAAAACACACCCCCAGGGTGCCCACGCAGCTCAACGCTCCCCCAGAATGAACAACGGGGACCCCGTGACCAAGCCCCCTCATCCCGAAGCCATGTCCCTGGAACCCTCAGCCGCCGCTGCGACAGCTGCCGTGGGATCAGGACCGCCACTGCTCCGGGGTTCATTCCTCCCTGCTGCCCGTCCGTGGGACCGGGGGGATTCGCAACCCCCGGCTGCTGCAGGACACCCCCGGCCCCACCGGCCGCCAGCCCCCGGGTACCGGCACCGCGTTGCCACAGCATCCTCGGCACAGCGCCTCGGAGCTCGCTGCGAAAATCACGGCTGGGGGAGATGTGTCTTCCCACCACCATGGAGGGACGGGAATGGGACCTGGGGCAAAAAGCACCCACATCCCCGAGGACTCCCGTGGGCAGTGCCAGCTGTCAGGCTGCTGCAGCCCCAGTGAGCCCCACCGCGCCGGGGCCACTGTCACCCATCCTGCTCACGCAGCCCCCGGAGCGGGCAGCAGGTCCCCAGAGCGTGGGGGATGCTGGACAGATTCCGGCCAGCACCGTCCTGCCACCGGGGCACACGGGATGCTCACGGAGGGGAGCACAAGCCCCTGCCACCATCACCAGCCCCCTGCCCGGTCTCGGCCCAGCCCGGGACCCCCAGCACAGCACCCCCGGCACAGCATCCCCAGCACAGCACCCCCGGCACACCATCCCTCCCCAGCGCGACGCAGCGTTACACAACAGGTAGGGGGGACCCAGCCCGCCGCCCCCCTCGCCCACCCCGCAGCCCAGGCCACGTACTGCTGTAGAGGGTGTCGATCCAGGAGAGGCGAGGCAGGCCGCGGTGGCTCAGCGGCTCCATGCTCGGAGGGCTGTGCCGGCGCTCAGCCCCGCCAGCCCGCTCTCATCTCACAACAAAGGCGGCGGGCGAGGGCGGGAGGCGGGGGGCCGCGGGCCCAGGCGGGGGCTGGATGGCAGAGCCGGCCACAGCCGCCTGCCCGGGCACACGGCCGCTCTTCTGCCAAGGGTGCCCAGGGAAGGAGGTGCCGCCTGGCAATGGCAGCGCGTCCCGCCTCCCGCCCCTGCCTTGCCGGGGGGAGCCGAGCTCCGCATCCCCCCGCACGCAGCCACGCCGACCCTCCGCAGGGGTCTGGGGACCGCGCAGGAGGAGGAGGAGGAGGAGAGGTTGTTGGTGGCACAGCGGCCTATGCGGCTGCTCCCCGGGCCACCCCAAAGAGAATGGGGGGAAGGGGGAGCTGGCTCCATCACCCCTTCTACCACGGTCTCATCTTCTTCCTATAACCCGAGGATACTGTGCCCACTTCCCAGAAAAGCCTCCCCAGCCCCTCAAGCCACAAAGGCTGAAGGACACAGGCTCCTCCTGGTCCCGCTCCCCCTGGTTCTGGGAGCCAGGGCCTCCAGGAGCCAGCAGCAGCCCTGCCCCGTTCAGCCGGGGTCGGCAGAGCGGGACGTGGGCAGGCAGGGGTTAAACCGCCCTCCCCAGCCGCATGTAGCCAAAGGAAATACAAAGTGCCAGAGTCATCAACCCCAATATGTCAGGGCGCCAGCCAAGCGTTCAAGTGCAGAGACTGCCCTGGTTCAGCCTGTGCCGGCACTGCTGCCCCGTCCCGGAGGATTGGGCAGCATCCCCTGCCAGTGCCCTCGGCCCCATCCTGCCTGTGGGCTCAGTGTGAAGGGACTGTCCTGGACCAGGCACTGGGGCCAGATGGGAACTGGGCAGGAGGGATAACGCTCTGTCGGGCACAAGGGCAAGGTAGAGCCATTGGAGCATGAAGTGCCAGGACGCGGGTGGCATCGGCAACCAGCTGGGAGACCTGAGAGGACCCTGTCAAGGCACTGCCACCACCTGATCCCCACTCCCGGGGGTGTCCATAGATGCAGCATTTTGGGGGAGTGCAGCAATGCCAATGCTGTGATTCAGCATGGCTTGAAGCACATGGAACCATTGGCACCTGGCATCCAGGATGAGGAGCCACTGCCGTCCCTGGCAGGGGCTGCATCCAGCCCCGGTGTGGCAAGGACCCACATCCACAGCCCACTGCACCCACGGGCTCTGAGTCACCGGGTGCTGAGTCAGTGGCACAGGGTGCAGCCCTACAGCTGCCATTTCCCACCCCTTGCCTGACCCTCTCCCATCTATTCTGGGGAGTCAACACTCCCCTTGCCCCCAAGCCATTCCCATGGGTAGTGCCCAAGGGTGGCCACAACGTGACAGTCTTTGCTGCTGTCCATCTCCCACCAACTCCCCCATTCACTCCTGCCTTGGCTCCAGCTCAGCATGTCCTCACTCCATCCCTTAAAGGTTCCAACTGAGAGTCCTCTCCATATTCCACAGCAAACCCTATGCCACTGCAGCCCCCCCAGCCCCTCACAGCAAGAGGCCTTGCCAGGAAGGGAGCAGTGGTTCAGCAGAGCACATAACCCTGTTCACTAACCCTGTTCACGGCAGGAAACCGCGCTCCCTTCGTGCCCTGGGGAGCCCCCGCAGCAGCACCAGCACAGGGTGCAGCTGCTCCCCCCCCGGGTGCAGTGGCTGCAGGGCCACGGGGGCAGCAGGAAGCTGGTTTTCCATGCACGGCTCCCTGCATACATGCAGGGTTTCTTCCACATGCTTTTCCCAGCCAGACACACCTCCTGGACACTCCTGCCCATGGCATCAGCCTCTCTACGCCACCATGCCCCCTTTGCACATCTTCCTCTTTATCCAACAGAGGGCATGAGCTGAGCACTTGAAAGAGCTGTCAGATCCCATGGAGCCCTCTGCCAACTGGCCACCCTTGGCCTGATAGCACAGAGCAGCTCCTGGCAGAGCCATGGCCAGGAGGACCAGGCCAGCAAGTGCCTCACAGACCCAGGGCCACCATGTGCTGCACCCGATGGCAGCACACACCAACCCAGGCAGGTGCCCTTTCACAGCCCACACAAAACAGCCCCACCAAACCACTGGGCTTTATTTTTACTTTGGTTCTTGTGCTTTTTTCACCTTTGCAAAAACAACAAAACCTCAAAACCTGCAAAGCAGCTGAACCTTCCTCCTCTCCCCAGGAGAGCTGGAGGGAGCACCCACTCACACCCTGGCACCCATCACCCTGGCACCCATCTCCCCGCAGTGATACAGACCAGTCCTGGGTGAGGAGATGCTGCCAACCATGTTCTCAACCCCCGTCAACCACCCCCAGCTCCAGCTGGGAGCATCCCTGCGGCAGAGCCGAAGCCTCAGCTCCACAGTTTCTCCCCACCACCAACCAGCCCTGCACAGCCTGCCTGGTGTCTGGCTGTCTGCCTGGCATCTGCCCAGCCCCTGCCCGCCAGCCCACGCATCGCTATTTCTGGGCTCTTGTGCAAGAGTCCTCCAGTCACAGCCACAGGAGCTGCAGGAGCCTCGGCGCTTGGCCAGGGCCGGGCAGGGGCTGCTGGTGGGAACCCAGGGCTGACAGCAACCAGAGAGCAGCTCCAGAGCCACCTGCACCCCCAACACCGGCACAGGGCGGTCTTTTCCTGGAGGAAGACTGGAATGGGAGAGGGTTGTTGGGGAGCACCATGCAAGTGTTAAGAGCAGCTGGAGTGCTTTAATTAGGAGAGGCAAAACCTCTGTGTCCTGGAGCCATGGCAGGGACACAGCCAGGGCTGCAGAGCCCGGGGCTGCGGTGGGAGATGCCAGCCAAGAGCCTGGCTGTCCCAGCTCCTCCAGTGCCTGCTCTGCCGGGCTCTCCAGAAGGTCCAGGCTCTCCCTTGCTGGTGCAGAGCAGCAGCTCCCCCCTTGCCAGAGGCTGCAGGGAGAGACGAGAGGAACAAATGAAAATGTTTCCACCCTCCCCGCCAAGGAGCACAGCAAGTTCTTCCTGCTGGATGTCCTGAACATGCTGCTCCTGAGTCCAGCATTAAACTTCTCCCCCGTATCACCTCCCTGTGGGATGGAAGCCCTGAGGTCTGCACTGCATTGGCCCCAAGCTGCACTCACAGACCTGGGGCATGGCTGAGCAGGCTGCCTGCCTGCCTGGAGCACAGGGCAGCTCAGCCAGGTTTGCTTCCCACCACAGGAGCTTCGAAGGAGAAGGAAGAGGTGTTGGTTTGTAGCCTTAGAACAAAAACCGCCCATGGAACAAAAACCCTCCATGGCAGAAAGCCCCATCCCAGCATCCCAGCACAAAGGTCTCCCTATCTGCTAGATCTTCAAACAATCCCTGAACTTTGCAGCTGGGACTTATCTCAAGGCAGATCTGCAGGAGTCCTCTGGGATTCTGCTTAGGCTGGCCAGGCTCCACTCAGGCTACAGCCAAGGGAGCCAAGAAATGCTGCTGCTACTGATCTACATATGCCGATTATCCTGCTTAGCAAACACTGAAGAAGTAACTTGGAGTGGGAAATCTTCTATTTGGAGATATCTGTTGGGGATGGGGTGAGTTCTATGTGCTCTCTCCTGCTGGCTCCAGGTGCCTGCTCCAGGAGGAGGCACCTCCTGGAGGCAATGCCACGAACCAAGGGCATAGGTGCCATTTTCCTGGGAGGGATGCACACTTAGTGAGCTGCTCTGGCTAAGCCAGGCTCCCCTCTCTAAGAGAAGGAACTAGAGCACAGAGGAAAGTCTCTCCCTCTGATCCCTGCTGCAGGGTTGGCCCCAGCAGACAGCATCCAGCAGAACACAGAGCAGAGCCATCCACTGGGATCCCAACGGGCGGCATCGCTGGGCAGGAGGGGAGGAGGAACCGGCGGAACAAAGAGCCCCGCTGCACAGAAGTGTCTTTCCAGGGAAAAAAAAACAACAAACCCAAACCAGATTTCAATAGACTTACAATGCAAATGTATTCAGGCCCCGCAGGGCACTTCTGGCTCTATCCAGCCACCTAATGAGGGCTCCTTGCCTGCCCTGCTGCTGCTCCTGCCTGGGGCCGATCACCAGCCACCGCTGCACCAAACCTGGGGGCCACCTCCGTGCTGGTCACCCCATGGTGGACACAGCCCGTGGCACTGCTGGCACTGGAAGACAAACTCCATCCCCTCCTGCCTTTCTGCAGAGCACCAGGGCAGACTGTGCAGCCCAAGAAATGCTGCTGAGCTGGGGGAGCTCAGCACTGTCTCTGCCCCAAATTATGGGGAATGAAACCCAGCCGGTGGGACTGTGCTCAGCTGATGGAACACAAGGATATGCATCCACAAAGGGATGCACAGGGATGCTGCAGCCAAGCCCACCTCCTCCAGGTGAGATGTTGGCATCTCTGTGCCAAGGAGAGCAGGAACCCCAGCTGTGCCGGGGGAGTGCCCCTGTCCAGTGAGAGGGACAAGGACTCCCAACCCACCAAGCATCCATCCTGCTTGGTGGTCACAGGGTGCTGGCACCAGGAAGGGCTCTTTCCTCACCCAGCAGATGCAGCTGCTGCCAGCTCTGCCCCAGAGCACAGATCCTGGTGGTGCCCGTGGGCAGAGCTGGTCACAGGTTTCCCCTTTCTCTTCCAGCTCCTTTACAAGCCCTCCATTATGTGCCCATCACAGGGCAAACTCCAACAGCCAGCACGTACTGCTTTCACCTAAAGCTATGCTTTAAACAGCAGCTCTTGTACTCCAAGGCTTTTTAACCTCATAAACCTTGCATTTATTTATGGCTTTCTTTAACAGCACCAACCTGCCCCAGCGCTAACCCCGCCATCCCCCTCTCAGGCAGCACCACCCTTCGGGGAGGCAGCCCCACATCACACAGGGGTTGCTGTCACAATGCCATCAGGGGGGTTTGTGGAGAGAAACCACCTCCCAAAACGCCACCGGGCCCCAGAGCAGATGGAGACGGTTCAAAGGTCCCCAGCAGAGACACACACACACACACACACACACACACACACACACACACACACACACACACACACACACA